CTTTACCTCCAAGGATTTAACTCCACAATCAAGGAAATAAGTCAATGGGATGATTTATAAGGTTTTCACTGGTTTCATTTATATATATATTTTTTAAAGATTTTATTTATTCAGTTTTTTCCCCCCAAAGCCCCAGTAGATAGTTGTATGTCATAGGTTCACATCCTTCTAGTTGCTGTACGTGGGACTCGGCCTCACGTTGGACGGAGAAGTGGTGCCTCGGGGCGCTCCCGGGATCCGAACCCGGGCCGCCAGCATCAGAGCGCGCGCACTTAACCGCTAAGCCACGGAGCCGGCCCTGGTTTCATTTATATTTCTTTCTTATTGTGTACCCTAATGCCTGGAAGGAGCTAGCCTTACAGAATGATGGACTGATCAATTATTAAGGGCTCAGTCACTGCCTTTTGGGACACAACACTACCTTCCAAAATGTGGTAAAATAAAAATGTAGTATGTTTTCTACGCCAGCAATCATTAACATATGGTGCTCTTTTTCCTAAAGCTAAAATACACAGGTCAGGAATGAAGGTAGAAAGGGAAGAAGTACTGGTCATGATATGATGCTTAGTGACTGATATGGGTTGAATTGTGTCCTCTATAATGACGGTAAATCCTAATCCCCCAGTACTTGTGAATATGACCTTATTTGGATATAGGGGTTTTGAAGATGATCAAGTTAAGAGAGGGTCATAAGAGTGGGCTCTAATCCAATATGACTGATGTCCTTATCAAAAGAGGAAATTTGGAACAGAGATAGACATGTACAGAGAGAAGATGGTATGAAAACATACGGAGAATGCCTATATAATCCAGAAGCCAAGAAACGTCTGAGGCTACTGGAAGTTAGGAGAGAGGCATAGAACAGATTCTCCTTCACAGCCCTCAGAAGGAACCAACCCTGCTGACACCTTGAGCTCAGATATCCAGCCTCCAGAACTGTGAGACAATAAATTCTGTTGTTTAAGCCCCCCAGTTTGTGGTACTTCGTTATGGCGGCCCTAAGAAACTAATTCAATGACCTATTCTCAAATTTTTTGCTTTCCTTACAAGTGGGTTCTGCTCATCTAGAAACTGAAAACCAGGGCAGAATACATTCACTAGGGACCTAATGTGTTTTCCACAGAATTAGAAGCTGAGACTGCTATACAGCTATTTCAAGTTCTTTACTCCTGTTTAAAAAAAAAAAAAACAGAGGATGATACTGGAATGACAATAATCAAGCCAAAATAGTGTTTTTGTCACATATAAATCGGCGTTAGAAGGAGTGTTGCCCCTCAGCATAACTACTGCACACAGTAGAAATTGTAAAAGAAGAGATGGATACAACCATCCACCGGTAGGAACCACAGGGTTCAGATTCTTCCTGAATAAGGGTGTGGTTCATCTCATTGAGCAGACAAAAAACAGACACGAAGAACTGCCAGAGAGCAAGAAAGAGATGAACCGGGCAGAGGAGGAGGAAGTCACAGGTACAAGCTCCAGCTTGCCACCGGGGAGACCTGTATTCTCCCGCTTATCTTTTTTATTGTTATTATTATTCTGGCATATAGGATGTGTTGGTACAGTACAGTGGTCATTTCATCCATGAAGCACAGTACATTGACCTGGGAGTGTGACCGAACTAGAGGAGGAATCAGACACAACATGGGAGCCTTGAGCCGTCCCCTCTGGGGGTGGCGACTGCAACTGATTGAGGAGGGGTCCTTTCTCCTGCACATTAGCTCTCTGCATCATATTAGACATATTTGCATTATATCTGAAATACTTTCAAATGGTGTTTATGGAGAGAAGGGCATGTGTACGTTGTACAGCCAATAATGAGAATGTGTAGACTTCTCTTGTTTCTGCTTCCTTCTCAGCATCCATCCTTCATGGAAGCTGTCCTTCTGGTGCTCCACCTGAATCTAGTGAGCTGTCTGTCACAGGACTCCAGAGACAAACTAAGCCCAAACGAGTAGGCTCTCTCTGCTAGGACTTTGAATCGTGAGCAGAGAAGGCAATTAGAACTGAGTCATCTGATGGCAGCTCCTAACAGTGAGCACATGAGTTCCCACTACACAGACCATCTAAATGCCCAAGTCTTCCCTGGGCCTGGTTATTCAGCATGCCACTCAGTAGCCTTCCAATAAATAAATCCACTCAGCTAGCTTGCTTGCTCTCCCTCCCTCCCTCCCTCCCCTCTTTTCGTTAGCAAGACTTTGTTACTGTTGCTTGTAGCTAAAGAATACTGATACATGTATTATCAAGCTTCTCACAGTATTTTTTTCTCATAATACATGGAAAATTTAAATATGTATATAGATCATTTAGCTACAAAGAACATAATGAACTTGTTGGATAGAAAAGGCCTATTATGTGGGCCAGCCTCGTGGCTTAGTGGTTAAAGTGCGCGCGCTCCGCTGCTGGCGGCCTGGGTTCAGATCCCGGGCGCGCACTGACGCACCGCTTCTC